GGGAAGCCCCAGTTTCTAATGAATTAATGACCCGAGAAACAACTTATTTAACAAATTACTTGAAGCGATTCAGACCCTGATGAATCAGGACCCTGTTTCCTCTCACTGGATCCTCTGGAGCAGACTGACTGCACATTCCATGCATATCATTGTAGCAAAATCTGGAGCAAGTTTTATAGTGTAAGCAATGCTCTCAATCTTACTCTGGGTACTTCATGGGTGGCACAAAGGTTAACAAACATACAGGCAGTGCTGAGACCTGAACGACCAGAGTCCTGGAGTGAGACAGCGAGTGAGACACTTTGAGAGAGCACTGAGACAGTAGACACTTTGAAAATTCAGACTATCTTATAAATAATTAACTGCTAAAAAAAAGCAGGAGCTGTGATAGTCAACATCTGCTAGCTGTGTACTGGCCTAGGACACATTGCACTCCATGAATACACATCAGTATATAATACTACACTTCACCACTGCTATGCTCCACAGCACCCACAGACTGGTGCTATTCAAGAGTTGTTAATCCCACTGACCACAGCAGCATTTAATCTCTTCCCCCCCCAGCTCTTCTACCTTCATATAGGATGATCAATCACTTTTCCATTTTCTGTCACAGTTACAAACGGTATACCATGCCTCCTGTTCAGTAGAACCCTAAGCCCTATCTTTCTGCAGTTTAACCATTCATATTGGTTAGCATTGTGCTGGCGCACTGAATCAGTATTGAGTTTTGGGGAGTTTTCTGTTTTAAAAATGTTCAAGAACGTGCTTGCTACTTCTAGCCACAGAAGCAGCTTTGATATTAAAGCACCAGTGAGTATTCCAACAACTGAATCCTGGGTTAGATTTTATATTCCATTTGGTTTCCCTCCCTGTATCAAAATAGGGAGCACTCATGATACAAAATGTTCCCACTCACAGGGTCTTCTCCTTTTGAGACACTGAAATATTTATTCCATCCATTTTAAACACTGTCCAATTGCTGCAAAAAACATCAGTCAACAGAAATCATACAAAGTAAACATTAACCTTAGTCTTGGACTCAGATGATTGATTACTTATGTAGGTGCAGAAAAGGCATGATAGAAAACACTTCCCCAGTCTACCAGAGTTCTCTCCTCTTGGGATCAGCCACCTTTTGACAGAAGATGGAAAAGCTCCTTTCAGCAGTGGTGAGTACTACAGCTGGCAGTATTGGCTGTTAGTATTAAGCTATCAGAAGAATTGAGAGGTTATCTGTTGCAATTACCATTCCTACCGAAAATACAGTACATATGTACCAAACTCTCTTCAGTAGGTTGGACAGTGGATGCTCTTTAAATAATCCTTCTGTTTTTGTTACTGTAAAATTAGAGTTAACGTTTAAAGTAAAAAAATCAAAAGACACAGAATGAACTTTCTATATGAAATCATCATGGAAACTTTGAAGGAAGCTCTAGCTGGGTAGAGAAATGGATTTTTTAAAAAAGGTTTAAAAGTCCTCTAGTACTTAAATGGTGAGACATTTCCATTCCACCTGCTCCCACAACTTCCCATGTACAACTGTGACAGTATTAAGCTTTCCTAGCTAGTAGCCTATTAGTGATATGAAATTGTGCATTTGAAAATAAAGTTTTTGTGTATTTGTTAAATAATTAATGTGAAGAAGAGTAACAAAACTGTTAATCCAGAACCTTTATCTGTCTGACTTTTTTGCACTGATGTTTTGCATGTTCTGCTAAGATTATTTAAGCTGCCTCAAACAAGATGATATCCTAGAAATGTAGGTTCAGTACCAGTGGTTGGTTGTAATCCTCTTTGTGCTGGGAATTGGTAGATCCCTCACAACTGGCTTTCAAATCTCTATCATCAACTACTCAGCCATGGTAAGAAAAGGTTCAAGCAGATACAGCACCTTCAGGAGTCACTGGTAATGTGGTCAAACTGTAAAGGATACTTCCCAAAATAAGTTGAAAAGTGTTTCCATTGACTTTCTATTCCCAACTCTTACCACCCCAACTTCTCTGCAGAAGAAAACAATTTTAAGAGCTAGACTATGGCTGCTTTTTAGTGGGCATGCGCAGGTAGCAAACACACCAGTCTCTCCACTTAACAGACGCTAACATTGAAAGTCAAAATTTTCAGAAGATGTCCTCTTGTCAGCAAACTGCATAAATTATCTCATCAATTTACTGCAAATCCTTTCCAACAAAACTGTCCAGATACAGCGTGTCTTTGCAATTCTACATGAAAACACACATGCGTACAAACACCAAGCCCTTTAATGACTAAATATGCCACATTATCAGTGCAAAGGGATGCCAGTGATTGTGGCCATAGTGTCTCTGTTCAGGTTCAAGGAAGGCACTTCCAAGGTGCTGTAACAAAAGCCTCTCAATCAGACAGGGAAA